GTTCTGATAAACATTGTGATTATTAAAAAAGTTGAATATTTAAAAAAATAAAATTAAAATATAAAAAATAAATGAATTATATACATAATATATATTACAAATATTTCAATACTATGTAATATTTCATTGTAAATAACAAAATAAGTGTGATTTCTTAAAGACATTTAAGTCTTAATTTCTTCAATTTTAAACATTAAACAATCAAACTTTCATTCTGTTTGAAATTGGACATCAGATTAAGTTCGAAAACCAATTGTATAGCATATTTAATGTAAAGCTGCACGATTTGGGAAAAAAAATCTAATTAGGATTTTTTTTCTGATATAAATTGGGATTTTAAAATGCAATAAAAAAAAAACAGGTTTGTTGTGCTGCACAAGTTGGGCCACATTTTTTTTATTTTATATATCAGTTTGACTTTAAAAATAGTAATAATGATTTGTATTATTATTACTATTATTGTTAATATTATCATTACTAAGAAAATATCAAACAAGAAATCACACTATTAATACCAAATAATACCAAACGTGCGTTTGTGCGTGTGCGTGCGTGTGTGCGTTTGTGTGTGTGCGCGCGTTTGTGTGTGTGCATTTGTGTGTGTGTATAGATAGATAGATAGATAGATATGACTATATAATAATAATAATTGATTAAATGTAGTTTTTTAACAAAAATATTTCACTACATAAAAAATAAGTATTTATACAGTATTTTTATTTTACAGTGCAACTGTATAATTACAATACGAAATATTCAGATCTTAATTTCTTCATTTCCAAACATTCAGTTTTGCTCTATTTTATTTATTTTATTCATATTACTCTGCCTTAATTCTGTATTGATGTAAATCGTGTCTTTGACCCTGAACCACAAAACCAGTCATAAGTAGCACGGGTATATTTGTAGCAATAGCCAAAAAAAACTTTTTTCTTTTTCTTTTATGCCAAAAATCATTAGGATATTAAAGGTGCAGTAGAAGATCTTGGAAAATGCTAACTTTAGCCTGATAGCACTGAAAGCGAACGTCCCACCCTCTCTGCAATCGCCGTCCAAAGCCACGCCCCCTGAACGCATATATGCACACAGATCAGACGATCAGAGACAACATTACTACAGTACATCATGTGTCATTAACCGGTGAGAAAACTTTATAGTACAGTTACTACAATACCAGGAAGGAAGGTCAGGTTGTTGAAGTTTGTTCTCGCTCTGTCTGCATAGCTCGGAACAAGCATTTTGATTGGACGAACATTTCTTGGTCCTACACCTATATATAAATACATTATATATAAATACAGATAAATACATTTAGACCACTAAACTTGATGACTGCTATTGGGATGTGAAGAGACTTTCAACCAGCATAACACAATGTTTCTAAAGACAATCACCTATTGCACCTTTAAGAAAAGATCATGTTACATGAAGATATTTTGTAAATTTCCTACTGTAAATATATCAAAACTTAATTTTTGATTAGTAATATCCATTGCTAAGAACTTCATTTGGACAACTTTAAAGGCGATTTTCTCACCCTCAGATTCCAGATTTTCAAATAGTTGTATCTCTGACAAATATTGTGCTATCCTAACAAACCATACACCAATGGAAAGCTTATACTTTTATTCAGCTTCCAGTTGATGCATAAATGCCCATTTCAAAAAAATTGACCCTTATGACTGGTTTAGTGGTCCATGCTCACATATTTGTAGTTTCCATCACTGTATTCTTCAGAGCTGTGGTGTTTTCCAGCTGTGGTGGATGTGGTGCAGGACGCTCTGAGCTGCTGTCGCAGACTACTGCTGCTCTACACGGCGTCGTCGCTCTGCAGCCCGGAGGCGCAGGAATGGGCCGAGCAGCAGACGGGTCTGTACCGAGCGCTGGTGGAGAACTCCATGAGGATCGTGCTGCTGGAGCTGGAGGAGATCCGCCAGCCGCTGCGCCTGCCTCACTCCGTGCGCCTCCTCAAGGACAAACAGGGAGCTCTGCAGGCCTGGAAGAGACGGAAGAGGTGGGCCTTCTGGGATGGGAAGTCAGAGGAGCGTGTGACCTCTCTGGAGCCCTCGGCGCACTTCTGGAGGGAGGTGCGCTACCATATGCCTGTCAGAGGCAAAGCTAAACAGAGAAACTTTAGTTTCTAGATGAACACTAAATGTGAGTACTCCGGGTCAAGTTGTAAAGTTCCCGGATGAATCATAACAACGCAGTCTTTTTTTGTTGTTGTTGTTTCTGAGGAGAAAAACTAGACAAAACGAGGCCAAAAAAAGAGAAATGAATATTTTTATTCATCAAGGATGCATTAAATCGATCAAAAGTGACAGTTAATACATTTATAATATGAAAAAATTATTTCTATTTCAAATAAATGCTGTTCTTTTGAACATTCTATTCATCAAAGAATCCTAAAAAAAATGTTTCCTCAAACATTTTTGTCAGCACAACTGTTTTCAACATTAATAATAATCAGAAATGTTTCTTGAGCAGCAAATCAGCATATTATATATGATTTCTGAAGGATCATGTGACACTAAAGACTGGAGTAATGATGCTGAAAATCCAGCTTTAAATCACAGAAATAAATTACATTTTACAATATATTCACATAGAGAACAGCTATTTGAAATTGCAATAATATTTCAAAATGTTTACCGTTTTCAAAGTATTTTTGATCAAATAGATGCAGCCTTGGTGAGCAGAGGAGTCATCTTTCAAAAAACAAAAAAAAATATAACAATATAATTAATTAATAATATAAATATATAGAGAGAAAGAGAGAGTTTTTTTTTTTTTTGAGAATATGAATTGGACTTTTACTTCTGGAACTCAACCGTTTCTCTGATTGCAATCTCAAAATATCAACCACAAAACTCTTCATGAGGACCCAGAGACGAATCCTAAGGCCTGTTTGTGGCTTGAACATGAAACCAGACCTGATGTGGTTCATGATATTTTCTGATTTACACGTTAGAGTGTGCTGAGAATGAGATAAAGAAAACTCTTGCGCATCAACCATTCTGTGGGCAGAAAAAAGCAGCTGTAAATAAAATATGAAAAAAATAGCATTAATTATGTATATAAAAAGACATTTCTTGTGATTTTGTTGTGGGATACATACTATGCTTTTGTAATTAATTACAAAATAATTTTGTAATTTTGTAATTAATTGATTTTGTAAAAACTGGATTGTCACACATTCTGTTGAGCAGTCCTATGTTAATTTTTAAGATTTTAGCTCCAAACATTAACCTATGGTTTTATGTACAGTATGGATGACATTTTTGCTGTAACTAGGAAGAGACAGAAACCGATTTATTAAAATGTTAAAATACCGTCTCACTCTGTAAGCAATCTGTTTGTAGTTTGACTTCCTGACACTTTTTAACACGTTGCTCTGTTTGTTTGAGCATGCCGTTTGTTAGCCGGGACTATCCGTTTGTCCCAATCAATGCAGATGAAACCTGTTTGAGGACAGTCATTGGTTTTGCTGTTCTGTTTGGCAGCTGAAAGTACAGAAGTCACACTCTTCTCCTTTTCATCTAAGAAAAGGTGCCAACCGCAAACACCGACCCAGATTCTGCTCCACGGGTTTCCGTTCAATGCTGCCAGTTTCTGTGACCTACAACTTCAGTCAGATCATACACGTGTATGAGTTAGGGTTTGATCAGTTTAAACATGTCAAATAAACTGAAATGAAACATCTGTGAGCAATCCGTCTTGTGTGTGTGTTTGTGTGTGTGTGTGTGTATACACTGCCATTCAAATGTTTGGGATCAATAAGATTTTTAATGTTTTTTAATGGAGTCTCTTGTGCTCATCAAGGCTGTATTTATTTGATCAAAAATACAGAAAAAAACTGTAATATCGTGAGAGATTATTTCAATTTCTAATATTGGTTTTCTGTTTTAATATACTTTAAAATAGTATTTATTTCTGTGATCAAATCTTAATTTTGACACTGAAGACTCCAGTCTTCAGTGTCACATGATCCTTCAGAAATCATTCTAATATGCTGATTTATTATCAGTGCTGGAAACAGTTGTGCTGCTTCATTTTGTTTTTGTTTTTTAGTTTCTTTTTGGAAACATACTTTTTTCTGAATTCTTTTATGAATAAAAAGTTTAAAAGAACAGCATTTATTTAAAATTAAAATATTTCCTAACAATGTGTGTCTTTATGCTATCACTTTTTATCCATTTAACACATCCTTGCTGAATAAAAGTATGCATTACTTTAAATAAAAAAAAAAAGAAAGAACAAAAATGTACTGACTCCAAACTTTTGAACGGTATATTGTAACACAAGATATCCATTTTGAATAAATGCTGTTTTTTTTATATATATATTCATAAAAGAATCCTGAAAAAAAGTATCATAGGTTCCAAAAAACATTGATACTCCATTTATTAGTTATTTATTATCAGAAAGAACAAAAATGTACTGACTCCAAACTTTTGAACGGTATATTGTAACACAAGATATCCATTTTGAATAAATGCTGTTTTTTTATATATATATATTCATAAAAGAATCCTGAAAAAAAGTATCATAGGTTCCAAAAAACATTGATACTCCATTTATTAGTTATTTATTATCAGTATTCCAACATTGATAATAAATCAGCATATTAGAATGATTTCTGAAGATCATGTGACACTGAAGACTGGAGTAATGATGCTGAAAATTCAGCTTTGTTCACAGCAATAGATTACATTTTAAAGTATATTAAAATAAAAACTGATATTTTAAAGTGCAATAATATTTCACAAAATAAAAGTGTTTTTTTCTATATTTTTCTATTATATATCTATATCAAATAAATGCAGCCTTGATGAACACAAGAGACTTCAGTAAAAATATGAAAGATCTTACTGATATATATATATATATACATACATACATACACGTGTGTTTGTGCTGTATCTATATATGCATACACTATGTTTGTGTGAGAGAGAGGACTGTCTATATGTCACGAATTCGGTTCATGGATTTCCGTTTATTCACCACCAGATGTCACACTTTCCATTACATTGACTCTCGCACTACACAAACTGTTGCATAGCACCCCGGACTACATTTCCCATCATTCTTTGCACAATTTGCACACTGCCCTGATTGCACTCATTGCACACAGCTGTTTCTAATTACCTCATTCACTATATAACACCCACTCTAACCACTTTTCTCTGCTGAGTATTGTTTAGCCGGTACCCCTTTTCGAGTTTCTGTGTCGAGTCTCCGTGGTTTCCTTCCGAGTTTCTGTGTTTTCCTTGTTTTGCCTTGCCTTGCCTGTTTTCGCGGTTTCTGATCTTTGCCTGTTTTCCTGGATCTATGAACTCTCTGCTCGTCCTATTCCGGCCAAGGAGGCCGTCTATGAACTCTCTGCTCGTCCTGTTCCGGCCAAGGAGGCCGTCTATGATCTCACTGCTCGTCCTGTTCCGGCCAAGGAGGCCATCGATGTCTGTTCTGTCCCGGCCAAGGAGGCCGCCTATGAACTCTCTGTCTGTCTTGTTCCGGCCAAGGAGGCCGTCAGTGAACTCTTTGTCTGTCCTGTCACGGCTATGGAGGCCGTCTGGGAATCCTC